GCTAATATTTGCTTATAATTAAGGGTTGCACTTTCATGTTTCATCTGATATTATAGATTGGAAATCAGCTACATGCTTACTGTTTTTCTTGGTCATACTGATTTATCTACTTTATTTACTCATCTGTTAATATTATATATGGTCCCCTAAATAGCCCCATTACCTTTCCTTTAACAGACTGCCCCTTCTCGTAGTCTAAATCTCCTTGTTTGAGTAATTAGAAAAGGACTACCCTTCCTGTGATATTAGGTTTGTGTTCACCTACAAGAGAAAAAGGGACAAGACTAACCCCTTCCAAACCTGCTTTGTGTAAATGGCTTCAGAAGGAAAATGAGAGTACTCAGCTCCGCCCTTTATTATGTGTTGTGGTGGATGAAGTCCCTTCAGCGAGGGAACTGGCAACACAGCCTCTTTGGGGCACTGACACATTGGCAAAGAACCCTTCTGTGCATTCCTTGCAAAAAAGTAAGATGTCATCCAGATTTTAGAGCCCCAGGTGTGCTGCACCAACCTTAAACAATCTGACTCGCATCAGTGGATTTTACAAGTTCCAAATGCAGTTGTAGCTGTCTCATCACAATTTTCTCTACAGAATTCTCCACATAGGAAAAATTAGCAGTGTTTGGCAAGGTTATCAGTGTCAAGGGGTTTTTGAAGCAGTGGTTTAATCATGAACAGCTTATGAGGACCCTAGTTTCATTTCAGTGAGCAAAATCTGATGATTCTTGGTTCCTCTGACGAATGTGCCCAATGCCTGGTCCCCAAGTTTTCAATACCAAGATAAGCAGCACAGTCAGGACATCTAAGATGAGATCTTCACTGCATATCAAGTGAAGTCATCTGCCCCATGGGAATTCCGTCATTAGAAAAATACATTTTTGCAGCTACCGTTTTGAGTATTGGTCAGGGCCAAAATCCTAGATGCAAAAGTCTTTGTGTCAGTGCTAAAGAGCACTTTGAAGTCTGTTGTTAAATCTTACTGTTTGGCAGTTTGTAAATTTCTGAAAGAGTCCTTTGCGGCTTATGGAAAGGATGGATTTTTAAACAGAAAAATCTTCTAAATAAGATAAGGCATAAGAAATGTGCTAATCATCTCCAAGCCAAGAGATGTCATTAAAAGTGTCAGTATGATGGATGTGATGGCTAATTGAAGAAAAATATTTCCATTTCAGCCACAAGAAAGCAAAGAAGAAAAATAACATGGAAATTCAGAAACTATATCCCAGAATTCAAAAGATCAGTACAAAGTCTGCATTAAAACTTGTGATAAAAATCACACTAGAAAAGTTAATTCCTATTAAGCTAGAAGTAATCAGTGTCACATCTTTGATAGTTTTTAACTTTAGCTTAAGTCAAAAAATGCCTTTTCTAAAAGCTTCTAATCTCAACCTGAGCCTCCATCATACTGCTAAATACTTTTTCGCCTAATTGATTGCTTTTAGTATGTGCTGTATTTCTGGTCTAAAATTTTCTTCCATTTCTGATGATTAGATAGCTTACACTTTTGTTTTTTATGAAGATGAAAAACCTTCAACCTTCTATGCAGGGGTTTAAACTTGCTTCAAATCACCTCTTAACCTTCTTTTGAAAAAAAAAATGAAATGGAACAGTCTTCTTATATTTCTCACTGTATAGCAGATTTTCCCCATTTCAGATTTTTCTTGCACTTTACTGCACCCACTTCAAAATAATTCTACACACAATGATGAAACTATTTTCTTGTTTCTGTTGAGTAGTCCTCTCTTCTTTGCACCCAGTCTATTTCATATTCAGCTGAATATCCATAATTCCCAAATCTCTCCTGGAGACACTGCTTTCCAAGTATGCAATTCCCAGTTCATAAAAATGTATCTCGAATGTTTGACTTTGCATTTAGTTGAAAATACACATCTTTTTATTCTCTCTGAGCACTGCAAGGTCCTGATCTGTTGGCTTGGGCTCTTATGTATCAGAGATATAAAAAAGATAACCAAGTGTGGTAATAGAGGAGTAAACAGAAACACCATCAGTTTGTTTGCTTATAAATGCTTTCTGCTCCAACAGATTAACCCATTAGCCATTAGCAATATCAGTTTTGTGGTAGCTTTAGGGAACCATCCACATGAACCTGCTCATCCATGTGTATCACCCTCTCTGGGTTCGAGAGAGGAAAAGAAGAGGATGCCTGGAACCTCAGCTACCCTACACTTAGATTAACTGACACAGTGCACTTGGCAGAAAGCATTTTGCCTACTCTATGTTATTTCTGCATTGCCATAAGGGGTTTATCAGTTAAGAAATTGTAACCTAAGGAGTTTCTGCGCTTAGAGTTACAAGGAAAGGTTTTCTTTTAGACAAAAGGGGGGCAGATCTCTGTCTTAAAAAGTGGTGCTAAAGGATGACCTGAAGAAAGTACACGTGCTCACTCTCTCATCTGGTCACTAAATTTGCAGCAAACTAAGGAACCTGGACATGCCAGAGGCACTTGGCACAATTTTCATGCAGTATAGACAATACCTTGTTAATTATACTGGTGCTGCTGCTGTTGCTATTAAAATGACAAGTGACTTTTTTCTCGTTGGTGGCTTTAAGTTTGTCATCAAAGCAAAATATTTTAGAACAGCATTTAAAATGCCTATTCAATTGCTGAGTGTGGAGCACATGTTAATACCATTTTGTCCAGATATGGTAGTTTATGATAAATGTTACCAGATTTTGTACTGCTGTACTATATGCTACTAAGACAAATGGGCCCACTGAAAGGGTATTTCCTTTGGAGAACACAAGCTGCAGACCACCCATAGCATACACAGAAATAATTAAATATCCAGATTAAAAGGTAGAGCAAAATGTCAGTGTCTCAGAATCCTAATGAATAAAAGACATTTTAAAAAAAACCAACCTATACATATGGGTGTTTTGAAAAAAGAATGTGAAGGCTACAAGAGCACCTAGGGGAAAGGAAAAAAGAACACACCATCATATTCTACTGTTAGAAAATTTCTGAATATTTATATGCTGTGGTTTTGCTTCTGGAAAGCTGCAGAGAGGTGTGTGAATTTATGCAAAACTGTTAGGGCCTGAATTCATACCAGTCTCTTGCTAGAATAGAAAAGTTATTCATGGAGAGATATTCAAGATCTATATTGCTATAAGAAGGAACTCAAATGGCCTTGTGACTGAAAACATTGCTTGCAAAAATTGTGGACTCTGCTGTCCTGAGACAGAAAGCTCTAAGATCAATTTGAGTAACTTTCAGAGCAGAGAGAGACTAGAATGTAGTTATGGCAGGTCATTGGCAAAACTTGCAGAGACTTCAGAGAGAACAAAATTGCGTCCTATCTAAATCATAGTGAAAAAACTTTCCAAAGACACAGATATTATTTGGGCACCCAATTTCCCCAGAAGTAGTTTCTGGTACAGCTTCTGCCTTGTGTGGTTTTTCACAATACAAGTAAATAGCAAAGTTTCAGGCTCAGCCATCACAATCTTTTTAGGAAAAACATAAAGGTTTACTGAACTTGAAAGTATAAAGTATTGAAGCATTGGATAATAAATTAGCAAGCAGTGTGAGTGTATTATTTTAAAGTTATTTTGTATTACTGGATAAATATAACCTTTCTCTACAGAATTGTTTTGAATTTTAGACCCAGCTCTGCAATCAGTGTCCTGGTGATCATTTAACCCACCCATCCCTCCCAGGTGTTGTGATAGAATGGAACAAGTGCTCCTCTCCCACACAGACATTGCAGTCACACGCTGAGAGGAAACTAGCGTCTTTCAAATTTTACTGTTTAGAGGGAGAAAGACAGTGAAAGAGAGAAAAATCTCCCAGGACAGTCAGTCTTTTGGCTCAAAAGGCCAAAGTTCAACCATCATTCCTCATTCAGATTGCAGATACCAACTGCAAACCTGGGTGCATAATAAACCTCCTTTGTAATGTTACCTGCTCCTTGAGGCCAGATTTTACAATGGATTTGTGAGATTGGAGTCCCACATCTGCACAGGCCATATTAACTTCAGCTTTGAAGTGCTTAAAGGAACCAATGTGCTACTTGATCTTTGTGCTGGTCTTTTGTATTGGAACAAGTTCCCTGTGCGGTGTGGAATGCATATGTGATAAGATGTATATTTTTCCTTTAGTGCCACCAAAACCTGTTCTTATTCATGCTGTCACTAAAATAATTTTTAACAGGGAAATATCAGAAAAGTCAAAGGCATCGGAAGAATTATTTGAATGACCTTTTCTTACCCCCTACAGTATCTGTTAGTAACTTAGTTATCCTGAAAATAGTTATCCTGGTAATCTAGAGGATGTGCCACAGAAAATGCCTGGTAAAATAGAGTACAGCACACCACAATGTCCTTTTTCCTTAATACCCCAAAAAAAAAAAAAAAAGAAAGTCTGTTAGTTCTTTTCGGAAACCCTTCTGAAATGTTTCCTTCATCTTTAAACTCTGCTTTCCAGATGACTTTAAGCAACTGTTACTTTACAGCACATCACAAATTATATTAAGAAAGCGTAATTCCAAACCAATTCTGTTACTCTGATTAAATAGAGAGCCATGTCAAGAAGGAAGCCTTTTTATATAATAAAAATGATGATAATGGGCGAAGTCTCATCAGTCCAAAGGCTTTATTACTGTCTACTGTAGAAAAACGATTTTGTTGCTCCTGAATGATATATCCCTAGCTAGGCACAATATACCTCATTTCCTGCTTAGATAACAGAAGATACTAAGATAAAGTGTGAAAGGAATAAGGAGCCATGGGATATAGATATATGAAAGAATAAAAAATGTTAAAAAGTAAAAATTAAGTTCTGCTTAAAAACTTGTGTTTGAACTAAGTTTCAAAAGAGAAAACAAAGATCCCTGAGTTTCTGTTTACTTTGGATAGAGCTTGCTAATAAATCCAGGACCAAATAGGACAGAAGAAAAGACTGTTTATAGACTAAAATGCGCTAAGACGTTCACAGCACCTGGCACAGCTTAAAACTAAATTGTGTTATCTTACTGTAGGTTCAGAAAACTGTCTTGAACAGAAGCTGAGAACACCTCGTCGACGATGTCAGCAGCCCAAAATGCTGAATAGCCCTGAGGACAACATGTACTATAACCAGTTAAATGTGAGTTCAAAGTGGCAATAAAGCTGTTTTACTGGCTTTGTTTCCAGTTAATAATTCTGTTATTAATACCTGTTTCAGCCCCTCCAGCCCCACCCCCACGTTCTTCTGCTCTCGTCTTGAACATGTGCTTATGCTCTTTATCTGTTGCTTTCATGTCAGGATGTCTGCCTTCACGGTGAATAATTGATGTGGTTTATCAAAGACGAGCAAGATGCATGCTTCATCAGGCTCACTTGAGCCCTTTGATCAAAAAAATTATGCTGTGACTTCTGATATTATCAGCATCTGCTTGCATTCAACACAAAATCACTTTGAATTAAAAATTAACGACTTGCTGCTTTGCTTTGACTGTGTGTTCTTGGCCCTCTCCACAGGGAACTCTAGAATATCAAGGGAGCAAGAGGAAGCCAAGAAAACTTGGGTAAATATCTATCTTCTTAGTTCTAAGCAACTGTAAACAGAAGAAGTCCTTTGTGATATTACAGAATATGCAAAACTTTCTAGAGAGGTTTCTAAAAATAAACAATTAACATATTTCTGTGCATTGACATTGGACATTTTCTGCAGAAGCAAATGTAAAACTTGCATGTAACTGCTGTCTGCAGACACTAGAACTGATTCTTACAAAACATGCTCCCTAGCTCTCTCTAAGTACTATTACTACCAAAAAAGTAGCTTCTTCATATTTTTAAGTGCATTTAGCACTAGTGAAGGATGCCAGATGAAGGGTGTTGAACTGAAGTTCTGTGACCTAGAACTTGGCCAGGAGCCCTGCCAGTTTTGCAGCAGCACAGTCAGATGGGTCTCTGCCCTCCTGGGGGAGCACATTTGAAAAACTGATGGAGAGGCCACTCAGCCCAGAAGGGAGTTGCTCCTTCTTTGTTGAACTGAGTCAGTTCTCATTGTTACATGAGCAGTTATCACCTGGTATAGGTAGAAAAAGCCAGGCTGGCTCCTATAGAATTGCCAGAATATTTCCTTGCCTGATTACATAGACCACAGAGGATGGATGCTTGGTCTTCTTGCAAATGCATTTTACTACAAACATATACAAGAACTTTCTGTATTATGTCCTCTGTTTTTTATTAATCTTCTGAATATAACGTTATGAATAGGAGGTCTTTGAGTCAAGGTTAAAACCCAAAATTTTGCATAACTGCACAAGATTTGGTTTATTTTATCTCCCTCCCCTTAGTTTATAAAAGTTTGTATTATGGGAATAAAAATACTAACGTGGGACTCCAGTGCTCATCATACATCACAGGAAAATGAAAGCCCCTTGCTGTCAACAGGGCTTTCCCCAAAAATTGATGGTGTAGTCTTTGGCTCGTATTCACAGCAAACCATCATCTGAAATATGATACAAAAATCGTACTCTATTTGTGGAACATACACAGACAAAAAAGCCACATTGCTCAAAGTAAATGCCCATTGCATATAAATATTTGTTCTCTCATTCTCTACACACAAACTGAATTACTGTATTGCATTTCACTGATCCTCAGGACCATTCAGAGTATAATAATAAAAAAGTAATAGTAGTTAAAGTATGTATAAAAGCTGTATCTTTCTCATCAAATGACCCCATCTTTTTTTTTCCTTTCTTATACTAGCACTCTTCATTTTTACATCCGCAGAGAAGTTTCTATTTCTGAAGATACTGACAGAACTAAATTTTAACTTTATAAATATTGTTTGTTTCCTTTCAAGCCAAATCAAAGTGCTGGATGGAGAGGATGAGTATTACGAATCATTGTCAGCTGTTGAATCTACTCCTGAAGATGACAATTTTCTTAGTTCCCCATCTCCTCCTTCTTCGAGACGTGTGTCTTTTGCTCAAAGCTGAACCTCACTTACTCTGTTGACTAATACTGGTAAGGGTATTCTGCTGATAATCTCTTCCAATTAAGTTTGTGCATGTGTGTTTATATAATATATTAAAAATAACATTTCTGCCAGTAACTCTAGTTCACTGATTTAAACCTGGGTTTGCAGCTGTAAAGTGTTTCATTTAACTGTATTTCTATAAACAGTTCCAGTAAAGGGGAGCACCACTACCTGTATGTGTTGATGTTGATAATGGACACGTTTCTTTAGCCGCAAGGTTAGTTTATACAACTCTGACCCCTTCTTTCCTGCTTCCCCCTCCCCTGGCTGGTGTTCCCTCCCTGTGTCATCCCTTCTGTTGTGCTGGCACAACTGCTGGTAAAGCTGTGTGAAAAGTAAGATCAAGGAACTGAACTGGATTAAAAGAACTCTGTACTAAAAATTTTAATCTGGAGTCATGGTGAAAATGTTTTGTATTTCATTAGACTGGTATTAAACATTATACTTTACAACTTTCTGTGCTGTATATGGCTTCTAACACTGCAAAAACGTACAGAGTAAAATCATTTAAAATATAAGTGTGTCTCAGTTTACCTTGCAAATAGTTTTCTTATAAAGTATTAGTTTATATATGTTTAACTTGGAGAATTATTTCAAATATAAGAAGTAAAACAGTTTTAAAACTAATGTTTCACACAGTGCTTCATATAGTCCTTGTGACAGAAATCATCAGTATGAATTATTCTTGTTATCCATGCAAATACTTATTTCTTAACCTGTATCTCTGGGCTCCGGTGATAACTGATTTTCACAGACCTCTTATATGTCGCGGAGGGAAACAAAGTCACCTGCAAATTTTCCTACTTGCTTTTCACTTTCTTTGCAAATCTTTAATGAAACAATTGTAACTTTGTATAGAACACTGAGATTCTTTTCCGGTTGCCATTTCTGTGACAGAAGCCAACTATTTCTATTTCCATGACTATTCCTGTTTCAGAGACACAGTTTTGACCTGTGACAATTCTTTGCTTCTTTTCCAGAAAAGCTCTTGTCAAAACTTTTTGAAATAAAACATTCACATTTACTGCTTTACATATTTGCTCAAAATGATTAATTTTTTTGAAAAACCATACTGATTAAATCTGACCATATATTATACAGACCTAGTTGTGATCCTTGTTTTTATCTTCCCTCCAGTAGATTTAGCCTGATCTGTGCTAACAGACCTTCTTCCTATTGGAGGTGCAGTTCAGACCTGTTCCTTAAGCAACATAATTTCTTACCATCAGAGTTCACTGGCATCGTCTTTTTGACCACAGCACGAGGAAAGATGGCATGAGAAATGAGACCCAAAGCAGAATCAGGTCATCCCTAAGCCAGAATAGGGTTTTAAAGAAGGAAAGGTAATTAAATAGATAGTTCCATAAAAGCTTTGTTTTTCCGAAGAAACATAGAAATTAAGTCAGGCAGGGGCAGATGAGGATGAGCAAAGGATTCCAGGAAGATAAATTCTTCACTCATTCTTCACCCAAAATATGACAGAAAGTTGAAGGTGAAAGTTAAAATCCTGCCAGAGATTGAAGTCTTTTAGTTCACTCCTCATTCTCCTCTGATGTACCTCTGGGTAGATGTACTTTAAAGGCACTTAAGAGCCTTTGAAATTTAGGGACTCCTTAAACAACAGAGAATTGGTGAATAACTGCAGATGAATTAATGGGATTAAAAAATGCAGCACAAATAGAAATGGCAACTAATATGAATGCATTGTTTAATATGTGTACGGATCAATTTCTTTACATTTTGTCAAAATTTAACAAGAATGTTTATTTATTATGATACCTCACCAAAAATTATGTAACTTTTCTTTTCCTATGAAATGTATAAGTTCTTCATTAATTTGTAACATATCTGGATGGAAAATCACATTATTTTGAAATAGTGAAATGACTTACTCTACTCTTACCTTGGCATAGATCACACAGAATTCTAGCAATGTTGATGATTTCTGGTTACCTCTGTTCTTTTTGAAAAACTATATAGGAAAATGAAGTTTTATTGTTACTGCAATACACATCACTATTATGCATAGTTTATCAATTGTTTTAGTTAAATGGTAGTGAGGTGTCCAGTTAGGTACTATGTCACATGTCTAAAAACCAACCTTACACTAAGTAATACATTACTCTGAGTAGTTGTATTAATTTCATAAAGAAGTTAGGGAGAGTGAAAATAATATATAATTCAGGGAAGTACTTAAGCCAAAGCCTTAAGTTGCACTGAAATCAATGAAATTTTGACACGTGATGTAAGTGCTTTCCTGAATGAGGCCCTGAGTTAACAAGAACAGCTTCACAACATTAAATAGTAAAGCACAGGCAAAATGCAAACACTCTCTAAGTACATCCTTTAGGTTTCCTCATTTTTCTTCTTCCAGATGTTAAGCTTGTAACAATCTCAGCCATCAGAAATGGACTTCAAAGAGATTTTAAGCAGTCTTTACTTGCATGGAAAGGGTAAAATACAATATTTTCCTTATTATATGCAATTACACTATCTACATCTGCTATAATTTTTTCAAATTAGTTTAATGTCACTAATACTTTTATACCTGAAGTTACTATCTAAAACCTGCTGTTGAGTAGTGTGTTTTCGTTCTTGTTTCTTCTTGGCTAAACACTATGCACACAGTCAGTCTGTGCATTTTATTCTTTCCTAGCTTATCCCCCTTTCCTCATTTGCTTTTGATAATTCACTTTACCCTCATCAGATAAGCTCTGTGAGGTTGTCTTCTCTCATTCTGATTTTAGAGTACTTATATGCCTTTGGATTGTTAAAAGCCTTGCTGTAGAGCCGTGGAGTCACAGTAGGACTGGCCAAAGAGCTGAATTTCTGTTAACCACATTCATAGATGTGTGTGTTTGGGTTGATTTGTGTGTGAAAAGGAGTACGGGAGGCATGTCAGTGTGACATCCTGGTCAGTGGAAGCATATCAATGTAAATTGCTTAGATGTTCTCATTTGGTTTTGATACCATTGAAGCATTGTTCTGATTTATTTCCTTTCATGTATATTATCCTGAAATATTAATGTATTTTGCTTAATAGTTCATAACATATCCTGTTGTTAATATTTTATAAAAGTAAAGAGTTTAAATCCTGTTAGGAAGAATAAAATTTCTTAGGCAGTGTGTAATAATTTAAACAGTTTTCAGCAGATGGGAGAGAAAAGGGTGAAGCTCAACAAGGGATTTTAGTAGATTTCTTCTGTAGAGCTTAATGGCACTAGAAACTGGTTCTTACTGAGGACAATTTCTGCCTTTCAGTTATGGCAGCTTAAAAACTTCTCTCTGTGCCAAAAAAAATCGGGCAGGGAGCTTTTGGAGATTAGCCCCTTTCATTTGGTAATTTTAAACGTGCTTCTGACTTAAACATTTACATCACTTTAGTAACATAAAGGAACCTTAGAATAGGAGTAAATTGCAGCCATCTTAAATTTGCCCCCACTGTGACCTCCCTCACCCATACACTGTAAGATTTGTGGAAAGGGCTTTTGTGCACTGAAGGTCTTTTAAGTGGCCCCTATCAGGCTACCCGAGGACTTCTTGTTCCTTAGAAGCTGATAAAATATGGCTGTAAATAATGTAAAGCTAAAAGCTGTGTGGTACTACTATCTATTTTACAAATAAAAATTGATGAGAAATAGGGTTTAAGTCTCAGTTCAAAAATTTCACCTTTTAAAAAAAGAAGTAATGTTACAATTGAATGTTTATTGCCTCCTGTTCTAAGAATTGTAATTGTTTAGGGATATTGCTTTTTTAATTGTAAAATAGTTAGCAATGAGATAAATAACTGAAGTCTACCATACTCTTATTTCTCATTCCATTTTTGATTATTTCAAAACAGAAGGAGAATTTTGAGAGACAAGTCAAGCTCTGGCATTTTTAAATGTCTTCAGGTTAACCATATATATATAGTACATGCAATTGAAAATGAAGCCATATGGCACAAAAGTATCATCCTATGAGAAAAGGGTAAGTAGTTTTAGTACCAATATGTGCACAAAACATTGCATGTACTAAACTTATCCATCCTGCTTTTAACTCTGACAACAAAATATGAGAAGTAATGTCAGTTCTGTTGTTAACACTGGAAATATGTTTCAATAACATACCTTGTCTTTAACACTGCTCACCCTAGGAGGAGTTGTAGCAGAATACTTATTTAACAGAAAATGTTTCTGCTTGACAACAACATAGTACTCCCAGACTGACAAAAGTAGCACAGGATGCTGTAAAAACCAAAGGCTAGGAGCAGTCCCCTGAGTCAGAGCTAAAGATTACAGGACTAAGTGAGAGGCTTTGTGTCTCCTTCGTGCTGGGCAGTGGAACTGATAAGGGAGGATGTTGACAATTCATAATAATAGAGCCCTGTGTCTTTAAATACACAGGCTGATGCCTAACTCATCTTAATGGATTTGTCAAGAATTATTGGATATTATTTTATTACATGTATAAATCCAGTGTCAGAACAGTAAAGATATACATTGTGTTATCAGGGAACTGTTTATTTTGGTACTCATGCTGTGATGCTAAAGGACATAGGAGCAGATAAGTGAAAAACACATCTAGGAGTAATGTTTCCAGAAACCAGATAACATATTATTGATCAGGCCACTAATAGATAAATTCCTTACTTTTGTTTGGCAGGCTTATTTTTTTTAATTAAATTGCAGAAAGGTATTATTATTTTTTCAATAATGTAACTAGTATTTTATAAGATAGTTGGCAAATGGGAATGGCAAGTAGGTAGATCAACACGTGTGCTTTTTCTGCAAAAATCCAGGTCCCCATTTTTGACCCATTACCAATGAAAAGTCTCATCTTGATCTCTAAGTGAAAGTAATATCACCACAACAAAGACTGGACGTCACCCACTGGGCTGGAGTTTGGAGCTGGGAGGCAGGCAGGCAGGCAGGTCGGCCTGTCACAGCTGTCTCCAAAAATTGTTGTGCTACTGATCATGGCAGGTCTCTGCTGAAGACCTATCTGAAACTGGAATAGCAGAACTGGGGCCCCATGCTGTCTAATGCACTGGTGGAGATGGCTGAGGCCAGGACAGGGGTAGCAGGGTCTTGAGGTTCTGGTGGAAGTGATCTTCAGAAAGCTGAGTGCTGGAGTATAGCACTGTTGTATAGCTGGGAAATGATGATATGGAGAGGCTACACTGGGGCAAAGGGAAAGGAATGGAGAGGAGATACTTCCACAAAATTGTGTGACATGGTTTATTCAGTGGGTTTTCTTCTTGCTGCTGCTCCCTGTTATAAGCAACAAATTAACACAGTTATGCAACTGGAGAGATTATGTAAAGGCTTCTATGACAAAATGGGTCTTACTGAGATGGCAAAACCAGAAACTTTTAGTTTTGTCATTTATGTTACCCCAGGAATGAGCACTCCTCAGTGCTATTGCAAAAAAAAAAAATAAAATCCGTTTATTTCATAAAATTGTCAATAATCTAAGATCCCCAGTTCCCCTACACATTTCTAAGACTACTCAATGCTGGAGATGAAGCAAAAGCAGCAGCTTGGTCCATCAATCCGTACAGCTGAGACCTGAGACAAGAAGTATATTAACTACACTGTTCCTAGTTTGCCTTTATGCCTTATACAGGATGAAAGTAAGTTGTAAAAGAAGAAAAAGTATGAATGTAACACTGTTCTTTATGTTTTTGTTCTGTAGGATTAGTTTGATGGAAGCTTACATCCACATTCAAAGATAAGTGCTATACTTAATGCAGGCACATACAATTTACTTCATTAAATTAACCTGATAGAAATGAAGTTTTGAAAGAAAAACAAAGCGTGAGGCTTCATAAAACTGTATCTTTTGCCAACTTGTATTACAATCTGCAGCATTTTCAACTCAGTGCAGATTTACAGCTGAATTCCAATTGGAAATTGGTATCGATTGATTACGTTGCTCATTTAACATTCCAGCATGCTGCAACAATAATGCAACAGACTGTGATAAAATGGGATGTGATCTAACAGGACATGACTGATGGGACGAGAGCGAAACACTGGGTTTGCTAGTAGTGCTGTGCAGTAGCTCAGATTGGCATCTTGTGTGCTTTGATTGTTCATTTCATTTTACTGTCATCCTACTGAGTTGAACATTTTAAAAGACACAGCGTTTTTCCATCTGTAAGTCATGGAAAGACAGATGGATATGGAGAATCTCCACCTACAGCTCCTTGACTGAATGCCACTGCCTGCTTAGTGGTAGAGAAATCCCTTCTGGAAAATTAGAATGTCCTTAAATATATTACTTTTTATTATTGGAACTTACAGATAGTTTTTAATGAGTACAAGTAAAATAAACTGGTTCTTATCAACATAGCTACCTTATTATAAACAGTGCTCCTTTTACACTGAAGTTAATCCTCAGTCCTGTTACAAGAAACTCATCCTTATTAAAGTAACATTAAGAGCTTCTTTTTATTGATCTGCTCCTTTCACTTAATGATAGGAACTTACTGATGTTTTAATAATAACCTTGCAAGCTTTATCTCATTTTACTTCAATGTGTGTTGCAGATAGATGCTATGGAAACTAACTTAGCATAAACATTTTGCAGATGTCTTTAAAGGTTAGGGAAAAAAAGATTTAGTTGCACTGCATGTTAACAAAGATGGCTGAAAAACTACAAGATAAAAGAGAGCCTCGAGTATGAACATCAAAGAATTGTTAATGACAAGAAATACCATTAGGGTTAGCATCCCTTTTGTTTCAGCCCCCTCACACCTGCAGTGTGTTGCAGATTCTGTCTTTGTTGGCACATCTGAATTACTTCCATTAGCATTTATAGAAAAGTGGCTGCAAAACAACAGAAATGTACTCCTGGTTTTCTCTGTTGCTCAAAAAAGTCAGATATTGGTTTCTCTGTGGGTTTCCTTCAAGGTACAGTATCTTATTGTAAAGGAAACTACAGACCCAGGATTCCGTTGATTGCAAATGAGCTAGCTTGAAAGGAGAGGGGAGCTTTTGATACTGCTAGAGAACTAATATAAGCAACTACAAGAAGCACACATAAGAAGCTCAGACATTAGCAATAGCAAAATCAGAGCGTGAAATTCAGATTAGCCCTCCACAGGCTGTGAGAGGGAGGGGGTATTGGAAGACTTGGCATGGCTAAAGGTGTAACCTGTTTCATTTGGCCCCTGAAAATTTTTAGCAGATGGTGGGACCAGCTGTCTTTTTCAGCCATTTAATAAACTCTTCGGTGGTAACAGTTTGGGAAGTGGGGGGTTTTGAGTTTTAGGCCAGAGGAAAAAATAAAGAAATCTGTCCCAATTGTCTTTGCCAAATAGAGAAGTCTGGAAACATTATGAAAAGTTAAAGTGAAAAATCTAATTGATGATACTGTCCTCATTATACATTTCAACAGAAGAGGAAGAAAAGAACTGCTTGTGCCCAAGTGGACCAGTGCATTAAAAAAATGCCTATTAGGTTGTTATCTTTATCTGTCATTTTCATTTCAGCTCTTGCAAGGAGGCACATAATGAGAAATTTTAAATGAACTGTAGAATGAGAAACTGTCTTACTTTTTGAAAAAGAAACTGGCAGAGTGACCTCTTATATTAAAACAAAAACAAAAAATACCTCTTGGATAAGATCAGGTTTACACAATCTGCCAAGGTGAGTACAACAGTCAATGAACTTATCCTAACCTGCATAACGTGATGTTATAAAATGACAGTAAACTGCCATTTGAGAAACATACGGTGTTCAGGTTTTAAATAAAAACCTTAGTGATAGGTGGGGTTTTGTTTATTGTGACCATTTACAAAAAATACTCACTGCAACACTATTTCTTCAGTTAAATTAATTTTTTAAAATTAACATTTCCAACACAGCACTTAATGGCAACTCTCAATTATATGAGATGTTTTATTTTAAAAAGCATGTCTAGTGTCTTTGAACAGAACAGTTCTTTTTGCACATTTACATGCTACCCAGCTGAGCAGCCAACCCTTCCATTTGACAAGGGCTTTGTTCTGCCTACAGGCCTATTATAAGCCCTAGATTGTTTGCCCTTAATAAATTACAACAATAAGACAGAAACCTCTTTCAGGTTAAGAGAAATAAAACACGTTGCCTACATAGCAAAGCATATGAAGTTTAATAATGACAACAGAAACATATCTAGTAAATCTAATTTGCTTTACTCCCAGATCACTGTGGTTAAGATAGCTCAGGAAGGTTAGCATCTTTCCATGCATCAAATAAAAGATGAAAGAAAACTACAGAGGGACAAAACAACTCTAGCTATAGAATGTTTTTTTTCTTCACAATATAGAATTGTACTGAATGCTATGTAAAGAAACTAGTGAGAGCTAAACAGAAAGAAACATGGACATGATTAAATGTAGAGCAGCAAAATGTTTTTTACTGAAACAAAACACAATTTCATATTAGAAAGAGGAAGAAAGGAGGGTGGAAATTATTCAAATTGAAGAATTTATACTACTTGCCCATGTGTTGGTGTGTGTCTGCTTGTGTGTGCCTTTCAGGCCCTCTACTGAATCACAAAGCCCTACCAATTTTGCTTTTATAGCAGCTAGTGGGCATTCTTCTGTGGCTCAAGTGTTGGTGGGGAACTTGTGATCCTAAACAAAATTGTTAAGCCCTGTTTCTGAGGCCCCACTGGTAAAATTCAGCTGCCAGCTGTGTTGTCTTTGCTGGGATTGTTAGAGATGGCTACCTTTGTTGAGCTTAGATCTGCTGTTTTTTCACTTAAGCCGGAAATTCCCAATGATTTTTAG